TCTATGTCCTGTTATTATTCTGCGATTTTTTTAATGGATCTTCAAATCTGGAATAGAGTGTGAGTGAGTGGTGAAGACTTTGGAAATGAGCTCTTTCTCTCATCTCAGGAAGCCCTAGATCTATTACCTCATCAACTCAAACTCGAGTTTAGCTACTGTGGACACTCCTTAGAGCTAAAGGTTGTACAACAGCGACGCCTAGCATTACTTTTCTTAAAATCATTCCGGAGCTTAAATAGTTCTGCATTTTATTTGACTCGAAGACGTAGCATAGAGAGCCAGTCTGGAAGACCTGGATTCGACTCCTGTCTCTGACACATACTGGGCTTTGTGACCCTGGGCAAATCACAATCTCTCTGTTCTGAGACAATAATTTGCAGAGAAGGTGCCAACCTCCATCAGTAGAGGGAGTTTCCTTATTCAGGAGTTCTCCATTCCAACCGAACCACAGGTTCAGTCCCTAGCTCTTTATTTAACTAAACTTGTTCCTATCTCCAGATACCTTGTATAGTATAGGCTGAGGGTCATCAGAGAATTTGGAGTTATATTTGGACCCTTTGGCCAATACCACTCATAAGAGTTTCTCATTGCAGAACTGGGGTATAATCAAAGGAGATTGATCAGGATAGAGGAAGGGAAGGGGAGGGAAAGGAATAATCATTTATATACAATGTATACAATCATATATACTGATAATAATTTATAATTATATATCATAATATAATTATATGTATTTATATAATTATTATTTATATCACACATAATATAAATCACATTTATTTATATTGTATAAGCATAAATATATATTATAATAATCAGTCATAAGTATATCATTGTAATATTTATATCAGTATAATAATTTATACTGATAGTTTATGCTTGTATATCATGATATAATTATTTATATATAACTATTTATACTATATATTATGTAAATTCCACTTATTTATATTGTATATAATATAAATATATAGTAATATCATGATATAATTATAATAATCACTTATAATTATATGATAATAAATTATATACTACTACGTGCCAAGTATTACGCTAAGCTCTTTTTAAAAATATATACACATACACATATCAATCACCTCATTTGATCTTCATAACATTCTGACAAAATAGGGATTATCATTATCTCCATTTCACAAGAAAATTGAAGCAAAGGTTAAGTGACTTGCCCAGGGTCACACAGCTAGGAAGTGACTGAAGCCATATTTGGACTCAGTTTTTCCTGACAGCAAGTTGGTACTCTCTCCACTATGTCACTCGGATGCCCTAGGAATAGGGGTAGGGAGGAGACTCAGCAAGGTACTATACAAAAACTGTTTAAAGGGCATTGGTGATGTTTAGTCCTGAAACAAAAAGGGGATACTTCAGGAGGACATGATCCCTGTCTTCAAATATTTGAAGAAATGTCAAATGAAAAAGGCATCAGACTTATTATCCTTGGCAAAAGAGGACATTCTTCATCTCTAAAGGAATATCCCTACTAGCTTGTCATTATAATGCTGTTGTGGGGGAGGGATTATGAGGTACTTAGAAAAAACAAAGCATTTAAAAATACTATACCTGCTAAGTGGAGGAGTACTTTGGGAAGTAGATTTGTTTTCATTGGTCTGCAGGCCTGAATTAGGCAGATGTGGCTGCTTTTTTAATGCTTTTTCTCTAGTGGCAATTTCATGGAATCTAATAAATCTTAGGGTTGAAAGGGGATCTGCAGAGTCCAACCTCCTCCTCTTCCCCCCCCCAATTCAGGAATTTCCTTTATAATTCCTTGACAATTGCCAACTCATCTCTGCCAGCTCATTTCCAATGAATGGGGCTCTTACCTTTTGAAGAGGCAATCCATGTCAGCTTTCACCTTAGGAAGGTAGGCAGTACTCCAGGTCCTCCTCCCCGTCCTTGGGAGTAGCATTGATGCTCCCACGGAGAAGAACGGGATTCACCAAGGTATCTGGAGGCAGTATCAGAGTATTAGGAATGGAGCAAATATGATGACAGTTCCTAGCCCTAATCTTGACACTAACTTCTACAAAATGGCCTGACCCTGGGAACTGAGACGTGAAACTCTCTCAGGCCCTGACCTGGGAATATTCTAGGTCCTTCCCAAAGGAGACGCTTTATAGATATTTAGAAATTCTTTCTAGAATTTCCAAATCTAGGAAAAATCTCTAGATTTCTAGAGCTAAAAGGTCCAGACTGGTGTGCTCAGAGATGATTTGGGGTAGGAACATCCTTTGGGCACAACCAGACAAAGCTCTCTTCCCTAAAAGACAGAAGCATGGTGGGGATGTACAAATCGGGAAGCTGCCTATGAGTCACAGCAAGCAGGGGCAAGCAGAGACCCCAGCAGAGGAAACAGGCCACCCCAACACTATTGTTCTGTTTGCAAGCCGCTGACCTATAGCTGAATATAGCCTGAAGCTCTATTATTACATATACTATAAAGATTACATGTTTTTTCAATTCTCCTCTACCTTAATAAATGTTCTACTATAAGCAGACATCCTTCAGAATACTGTAAAAATGTTTCATAATAGTAGCTAACTTTTACATAGCACATACTATGTGCTGGGTACCATGTTAAGCACTTTATAATTATTATTTTACTTGATCCTCAGAACAACCCTAGGAGATAGATGCTACTATTATCCCTATTTTACAGATGAGGAAACTGAGGCATACAGAGATAAAGTAATTTATCCACGGTAACACAGCTAGTATCCAAGGCTAGATTTGATCTCAGTTCCTCCTGACTCCAGACCAGGCTCTATCTACTGCACCACTAGCAATTTAGACTTCCCGTCACAAGACCAAATTAGGCAACTAGTGTTATATTCAATTTAATGAGCATTTATTGAGCAAACTACTATGTGTAATTGAACAATGAACTAAGGGTGAAAATTAAAGAATACTCATCACAGTTAGAGCTGGTTAGAGCTGCCTCCAGCAGCACAGAGTTCAGAAGCATCAGAATCATTTTAAAACTGGGTCTTCTGATTCCCGGTTCACCACTTCCATAAATGGCAGAGCTGACTGATGGCAAATGTTTTTGAGTACTAATTTCCCTTCTCCTGACCTACAGTATACTTTATGAGTAGTCTGTCCTCATCACAACTTGAAGGTAATCCAGGGAACACTTTGAGTTGACCTGTGATGAATGCTGAATCGGACTGATGATCAGTTAGAGTGGAGCCCTCACAGGTGGGCATGACATTTGTCTTTGCAGCTCTAGCACCAAATAGAGCCCTGAATATACTTTAATACATTGAGAATTAATGATTTCAACAGCAAAGTATGCCCTCTGCTCACACAGGTGACTACTTCTCTATTAGCCCATAGTTGAAGGTCTTTGTCAGTTGCCGTGGCTGGGAAGGAAAAAAAATCATCCGGCAGGCAGCTTTTGGGTGATGTCTCCCTGGACTTAGCTGGGCTGGTCCTTGGACAACAAAATTCTTGATGTCACTGAACCTGCTCTACCACAGCATTGCAAATAGTAGGTATTTTGGGTTTATTTAATTACCTAAACTGGTGATGAGAAAGAAATAAAATGTTGGTTGGTACAGCTAGGCCAGAATGTAAGATTTATAACCAAAAAGGACCTGAGAGGCCATCCGGTTTAATCTCCTCACTTTATGGAGGAAACTAAGGCCTTGGGAATTTGAGCAACCTCCTCAGTGTCCAATAGCTAGTAAGCACCAGAAGCTTTCCTCTGATGCTGCTTCCTTCTCCTAGACTAAGCTGGATCATAGGATCATTGTCAAATTTCAAGTTGAAAGGAACCTTCAGGTCATCCAGTCCAACTTAACATGTCCAAAGAGCTGCAGTTTGAACCAAGGTCTTCTGATCGCAAATCCAGCCCTTTCTTCCTTCTAAAGTGCTGCCTGTTTTATACCCAGTAATGTATGGTGCAATTCCTTCAGTGGCTTCTGTTGCCCTGGAATGTATGAAGCAAGATTGTCTTTAGCCACAACTTACTTTGATGCCTGTATTCCAGACATTAGCAAATGGCCTTCCTTCTCTTTCAGTATCATGAAATATTTCTACCTATATAGAGATGAGTCTTTGCATGAAAACTTTGCAGGGCATGTCTTCATTCCAGGTCCTAGGAAACCAAAGAAGAAAGTAAAGGATTAAATTCATCCCCTCCCCTTTGGCCCAGTTTTTTCCCACTTCTAAATGCCATAAGATTGCCAAGATCACAATAACCCCTTAGAAATGAAAAAAAAAAATTCAACTCTTTTACTTCCCAATCAGTCAATATAAATTTGTTGACTATCTTGATCTCTGACAAAGAAAAGAATCAGCTCAAATTCCTCTCATTTAACCACATAGAAACAGTCTTAGAAATGCATGCTAAACACACAATACACACACACACACACACACACACACACACACACACATACACACACACACATCATTCTTCAAAACCTTATCAGGCTGTTCTGGGCTATTTTCATAAGGCTTATGCCACAGAGTAAAATAAGGCCCACTAATTGGGCACGGGATCCTGGATTTCCCTAAACCTTCAAGGAAAGGGGCTTGGTTACTTCCAAAAGATGAATGGCTTGCCTCACTTTGAGGAGTACCATTTCTGAGACACAATGATGGGTTGTTTTTTCTAATCCATTTCATTGATGCCTTTGTTTTTATATCATAATCATTTCTCTATCTCCCCTCCCACCACAGCTTAAACCTTCCAAAATATTTGGCACAGTGACCTCCTCTGTCCAAGTATGCAACATTCTGTGTGAGTCAGGTCCATTTTTTGCCTTTAGAATTTCATGGGAACCTTCTCCCAAACTACAAGATGGGAGACACACTAAACTAGAGTTTGGTGTGGATCCCCAGGGAGATACCTCCTTCTTTCTTAAGAGTGTCGTTACCTTGAACTCTAACTTCCATGACAAAATTGGATGATATTGTAAAGCGCAAATATTAAAATGAAGTGAGTTACAATGCTAATCCTCCTCCCTTGTTTTGAACAGGAACAGAGATACTTGGCAAATCAGTTCGTATTATATTCTCTACGTTAGGAGTTTGCACATTTTTTGCAATTGGCTACATGTTGCTGCCACTGTTTGCTTACTTCATCAGAGACTGGCGGATGTTGCTACTGGCTCTGACGATGCCGGGGGTGCTGTGTGTCCCGCTGTGGTGGTGAGTGAGACCATGTTCACAGGCATTCCCCTCCAGGGGGGCACATCTGGAGCTACAATTTTTAAGATCGCTGCTGGGTTGGAATGTTACTTTGCTTCGGGTTTTGGGGTTTTTTGTTTTTTGGGTTTTTTCACTTGGTGCCTGCTAAAAGCAATAGTCTTTCTGCTTTTGGCCATGTGTGGTGGCTGTGGTTAGGGTCCTCCATGCCTGCTTGAAAGTGTCACTCTCAGAGTAGAATCTTAACCTGAAGCCATCCTTTCTGTTGCAGTTTGTTTTTCTCTTTCACGTGCTACTGATTTCCCTTTTTACTTTGGTCTTCCTTTAGAAAGTCTCTTTTCTGTTTATGAAAACATATGAAGTCCTTTGACTTTTCTGGCAAGACTTTCCTTACAATGTTGAAGGTGTGTTTGCTTATCTGCGTAGAACTACGGGTAGAAAGAGAGAGAAAGAGAGAAACGGAGACAGAGACAGAGGGACAAAAAGAGAGACACACAGAGAAAGACAGAAGTATTTTTTAAAAGAAAGTATCTTTTTTAAAAAGATAAATAAAAATTTCCTTCTGGTCGGGTCTTTTTACAACTCATTTGTGGCCTATTCCTTCTTGAAATAGTACTACAGTTTGAAAAATGACCCAAAGTCTTGGTGAAATAGAATTCACTTAATAGGAGGAGTGGGGGGATAGAGTAGTGAATTTAATAGCTGCCTCTGCCTATTTTGGCATTTGAGGGAGGCAGGGAAATGAATGATAGCTTTTTAATCCAACTTACTTTGAGCATTGGGTTTTGCGGATGGTTTTGATGTGACTTTTGTGGTTTTATTTCTTTTATTTTTCACTTTGAAGCAGGAAGAGAAAGCACCCTGTCTTTTATGAGGGATTTTTTTTAATCCATTAAATTCCCTTATAATTACTCTTGGTTTGGCTACAGCCTTCGAGAAAAGCGGCTTTCTTGATACAAACTATGAGTGCCTCCATAACTTCCCAGACTGATGGATCATCAGTATAAATTTAGTGTGTGGGAGCCAATGATATTTCCTCTCCTATGTTTCTCCCAAAGTTTGAAATGGAGCCTGGTAGAGCTTAGAAATAAGTCTAATTCAGCTGACCCCTTCTTATCCCGAATTCAAAAGCCAAATTTCATGCTTACTGAACATGCTTCAAGAATACCACATAGGTTAGAAGAGGTTCTAACTGAACTCAAGGGAGCAGGTCACAATGACATTATACCCACTTCCTTACAAGACAGCTCTGCCCCAGGGAAGCCATCCTAGATCCACAATGGCATGTGGCTATCCCAGAGAAGCCCCATGCAGACAGACTCTGTTTCCATCCCACCTTCCCACTGGCTGGTTTTGCTGAGCAGGTCTCATGGTAAGAGCTGTAGGAGTACCAAGAAATACAAGAAGATACAAGCTACAAGAAGAAATGCCTTCTTGAGGAGCAGGGTCAAAAGAAAGAACAGAATAAATGGGAGGGCAGAATAGGATTAAGGGAAATAGAGTTAGTTTTTCACAACATGTCTGCTATGGAAGTGTTTTGCATAACTGCACATGTAAAACCTATATTGAGTTGCTTGCCTTTTTAATGAGGGTGGGTGGGGAGGGAGAAAGAGAGAAAATTTGAAACCTAAAGTTTTAAAAACATATGTTTTAAAAAAATGTTTTCACATGCTACCGGGAAATAAGAAATACAGGAAATGGGGTACAGAAGTCTATCCTGCCCTACAGGAAAATAGAAGGGGAAGGGGATAAGAGAAGGGGGGAGAGAAAGAAAAGAGGACAGACTAGGGGAAGGGATATTCAGAATGCATGCCATCTTGGGGTGGGGAGAGGGGTGAGACGGAGTGAAAATTTGGAACTCAAAAACTTGTGGAAATGAATGTTGAAAACTACAAATAAATAAATTTATACTTGAAAAAAAAAAGAAGAAATGCCTTCTTGATTATTCTCCCTTCTGACCAGGAAGCTCTAGGTCTCTTGCCTCTCTCTCAAGTGTGTTAGAACTCTAGAAAACAAAAAAACTTCTTATCAGTCTTGTAGTTAAGGCTAAACATATAAGCTGGAAGTTTTTGGGATGGGGGGACCAGGGAGAAGAAGTCAAGCTTTTCAGAGAGTTTAGAGCTAGAAGGGACCTTTACAGGTCATCCTGTCTAAAACAGGCATTTATTAAGTGTCTGCTGTGTACCAGGCATTGTGCTAAGAACTCTATAAATATTATCTCACTTGATCAGCACAATAACCCTGTGAGAGTTAGATGCTATTATGATCCTCCTTCTAGAACTGAAGAAACCGAGACAGGTTAACTAGCTTGCCCCAGGTCACACAGCTAGCAACTGTCTGAGATCACATTGGAACTCAGGTCTTCCTGATTCCTGGCCCAGCCTTCTATCCACTATACCACTTAGCTTCCTGAGATGAGGAAACTGAGACCCAGACAGGGGCTTAGGTGACACAGGTAATAAGAAAAGAATTAGGAGTCAAATCCATTGTGGCCCATGCCTGAACCAAAGTTAGGAGATCCCCAGTTTTTTTAAACCCCTCAGCTATATTTCACAAGATCCATTCAAAAGAAACTATTTTACTTTTGTTCTTTAAAAACAGCAAAGCCTTTTCCTCTACTTCCTGATTGGCAAACTAGCCCACAAGGCTAGAGCATGTGTATGGACAATGTTTCCTTTTGTCTCCACCTTCCTGTAAACTCTAGATACTCCTGCCAAGCAATGTGACTGATCTGTATGGTGAAGACAAGACCTAAGACAAAAGTGTCCCTGGTGAATTGACTGACTAGGAGTAGTGCTAACATGCCATATACTTCGAACAAGTGCTGCCCTTCTAGGTTCCCTTGGCTTCAAGGGGTGTTTTCCTCTTAATTACAAGTGTAAGGTGTATGTGTTAGTAGGGAGAGGAAGGTGTTGTTTTATTTTGCCTATGTAGGTTATAGATGCTGACAGGGGACTGTCCAGATGTGGCTTACATGGAGACAAGAATAATATCCCCAGCATCTGCTCTCCCCACCCTTCTCCAAGGAAGACTTTAATTCCTGCCAGCAGAAAAAGCAGAAGGTTGGGGCCAGAGGCTGGCCAGCCTGATCTCCTCAGAGAGAGTGGACAGTGGGCTACAGTAATCTCTACCTGCTCCCTTTAATATTATTAACCTAGGGAAAGTAATGTTTAGGTTTAAGCTACACTTCTGACCATTATCCCTTAATGAGACTCTCTTTAATATTTATTCTGGGATGGGATGTTGCTGCTACTACTGCTATATCAATGAGGCGCTTGTGGTATGGAAGTTTCCCTTCAGTCCCCGCCTTAACACATGTCCACAAGTGCTTGGATTTCTGTGTGTACAGCATTCAAGTGTACTGATTTCCTTCCTTGACCATAAAAAGCCTACTTAACTTTCTCCAGTTTGGGCTCCTTGGTGACCCTCGCTGCCTTGCCCTTGATTTGACATATACTCATTCTTCCTTCTTGACTTGTGTGCTGTTGAGCTGGGCTGCATTTGTGATGATCCTTTCCGAATTCATCTTCTCATGGGGTCCTTAGGTCATGCCAGGTGTGTGGAGATAGACTCTGGTCCCCCTGTTCAGCTTGGGACATCTGAGACGGGGAAGCTGCTGGTCAAGCGACATCAGGTGACATAGTGCATTGGTAAAGGGAAAAAGTGACTGACTCAAGTAGGTGGAGAAAAGAGAAGGATGACTCTGTAGGAGGCAACTCCTTCCTTTTACTTATAGAACAAAGGAACAAAAGAACAAGCATTTATTAAACACCCACTGTGTTAAGCATTTTACAAGTAATACCTCATTTAATCGTCACAGCAACACTAGGTGGGTGCTATATTATTATCCTCATTAAACAACTGAGGAAGCTTAGACAGACAGAGGATGAGTATCTCACCCAGGGTCACACAGCTAGTAAGAGAATGGATTTGGACTCAGGTGTTCCTGATTCCCAGCTCAGTGCTCTATTTAATATGCCCCCTAGCTGCCTAATGACTGGCTGAATACTGCTTTGGTTTAAAGGAGAAACCCACCATTTTGGTTTTATCCCAAGTCACTTAATAACCTGTTCTTGCCTTCACCTAGCATTTCTCCAGGGTTCCCCAGCTACAGGGCAAGTATGTGTATATAACCATCACTTGGGAAAGAAGCTGTCTCATGTATTACTCTGTACAATGCCAAGTATTATCACATAGCTATTTTGACATGCTGCCCACCTCCAGTAGTTCTGGCTCCAATCTGTCTGACAGTCTGAGAAACCCAGCCTCATCAATGTTTTCCCCTTAAAAGCAAAACATTGGTTTAAATAGCACATCCCTAGAGAGTCTCGCTCCTGCCCCAGTGCTGGTGTTTGGCAGCAGGCAAATGTAATGCCACTGAGAAGACATGGAACTATTTTCCACTTGTCTCACTGGCATAACTGGGGAAAAGGCACTGGGACACAGGGCATTACCTTACTCCCCTACTACCCAGCAACACAAAATTTTAGATCTGGAGCTGTGAGGAGCCAAAGAAGCCATCTACTCCAACTCCTTCATTTTACAGCCCGGGAAACTCAGAGCCACAGAGGTTAAGTCACTTGCCTAAGGCGACAAGATTATTGAGCCCAAGTTCAGGATTCGATGCACAGTGAGGGCTCACCAGATCCGCCTTTTTGTCTTAGCACTCAGGCTCACTCACTCATTCCCTGTCTCTTCCCAACATACTCATTGATGTCTCTCCTCCCCTACTTACTCTCTCTTCCTCCTAGACAATCAGGGAATCAATCCTCCCACTCTACTCCCACTCACAAACTTCCAGCTGGTCACATAGGTGCCAGTGCTCCATCCTCTCTCTACCACACCCAGGCCTCTAAAATGAATACCACCAGCTGAAAAGCTATTTCTCAATTCCCTTTAATAGATGTATTACCACAAGCTCAGGTGCAAGGTTCCTCTTTTGCTTTTTAGCCTCATGGTATCCCAACATCAAATGCCATCCGATTGGACTGTTCATCCTTCATATCCTACCTAGAGGATAGTGACAACACTTGTAGTCTTTGAACAATGTAGAAACCAAAAACCTGAGCACCTGGTTAACAAGAATCACTAATTAAAATCAGATGTTCCCCAGTGGTGTGCTGAGGTGAGCCTTCTTTTGCCTTGCCTGGCCCATTCCTGAGACTTTCTATAAGTACAGGTCTCTGTTCCACTCCCTCTAGCCTTCCCTCCCCAACTGAGGGTGCACTTCATGTCACTTGCCCAAAACACAGTTTGTCATTTTTATCCCAGTACAAAAATTCTGAGATATGACCCTTTTTTTGTTCTTTAATGGGTTCTAAGTAAGTTATGAGTTCCCTTTGTTAAGTGTACACCACACAGAACTCAGTACTGTCTTTGTTCTAGTAGGTCTGAGGGTTCGTGCCTCTCAGCTCAGGTTTGGAAGCCTTTGCCATATTATCAAACTTGTATTACCATGCAGGGGACATGAAAAAAAACAGGTTCCTTTGCATCACACTCTAGAGTTGAGAAAACAGCAGAGAGGTGCCAGAACTGTTATGGAGTCGGGTGGAGAGCCCTGTGGAGAAATTTCCAAAGCTGCCTACTCATACCAACTGATCTTGCACAAACCTAACTGACTCAGCCATCTGGGATCATGTGGCATCGGACACCTGCAATTTGTCAAAATATGGAAGGACAGGATATGTGTGTATACACATACACACATACATACACACATGTGTATGAGCATGTATATTGAGTATATGCATATATATACACATCTCATCCTTCCATGTTTCCATGTATGTATATGTATACACATGCATGTGTGTATACACACATGTACTTATATATTGATATGTGTGTGTGTATATGTATAGGAGAACAAAATATTTGTGTATATATTCATAACATTCATATATTCATATTATAACACCATACATCTCCAGGACCAGGATTTATATTAGCTAAGAGCATTAGTCAAAATGCACTTCAATGGCACAGCAGTTGTATGTGGAAGCTGACTAACTCAGCAGGGAAAGTTTAAGGTAACTGGTACTATTCAATAATGTATAGCAGCAGACTGACAGACACTTGTTTCAAACTAAGACAAATGGGTTTACATGGCATTTTTTCAAGTTAGTCAATAAACATTTATTAAGCACCTTCTATGTTCCAGGCACTGTGCTAAGTTCTGGGGATAAAAAAAAGGCAAAAGACAGTTTCTTCTCTCAAGGAGTTTACAATCTCATGAGGAAAGACAATAAGTTATTTGCCTAGACTAGAGATGAGGAAGAGAGCTTGGAGGAGGGATGATTTTGTAAGGTTGTTATTTCTGGCCAATTCTCAATTAGGTCATTGCTACTGCTGAGGATCCTAGTAATATCAGTGGGGAAATATGCTTAATATCTTTTTAATAGAATTTGAATTTCCAGGAAACAATACTGAAAAAGAAAGATAGTTGGAAATGGGAAAGCTGAGAAATTCAGGGGCTGAAGTGGGAGAGGGAAAGAATTTAGATGAGATCAGGAAAAGCTATGTCCTCCGATGCTATGTTTGAACACTGTGGGGGGAAAGAGGGGTTGTGTACCTAAATGTGCCATGCACTATGCTAAGTACTTTGTAAATATTATCTCACTTGATCCTCCCAATAAGCCTCAGAGCTAGGTGCTATTATTTCCCCCATTTTACAGTTGAGACAACTGAGGTAGACAAGATTAAGTGGCTTACAGCTAGTAAGTGTCTGAAGCTGGATTTGAAGTTGGGTCTTCCTGACCCCAGGCTCAGTGCTCTATCCTCTGTGCCACCTCCATGCTTTGAGGGGGAAGAGGGATTATCAAGACCTGTGATTTCATTCATGTAGGGAAACCTGGCAAAGCAGGGTATCATAACTCATTTTAGCTGATTGTTTGACTCATTCAACATTTTTTAAGTATTTTAAGTGCCCACCCTATACAAGGCACTGTCATCCATGTCCAAATAATATATCTGAGGCAACACTTTAAGGTTTGCAAAACAGGCAACATACATTACCTCCTTTGATCCTCAAACAACCTTATGAGATAGATACCATCTCACATGTCCCCATTTTACAGGTGAGGAAATTGAGCCTTAGAGAAGTTAATTGATTTATCTACAGTTATGCAGTGCCCAAAGTGGAATTTAAATGCAGGTCTCTTGTATCTCTCCATGTCTCAGACTCTTTCAATCACACCACAGTGACTCTACAAGGAAGGCACTAACACATAATTGCCAGGCAGTCCTTTGAAGATACCCAGATAACCCCTTGAATATCTCACTGGCTACTTATGTCTCATGTTGATTAGTACTGTCTCCATCACCCTGTGTTTTGGATGACTCTGGTCTGAATATTGCTAAAACCTCTTTAAAGTTTGTATATACCCACTAGCCAAAAGTTTCTGATTTAGAAAACTTATGGAGGGAAAAATTCAGAGGTTTTTTTTTCTTAATAAAAAAGCAAATCTTAATTTAAAAAAATTATTTTTTATGGAAGATAATATTTTCTAAGATTTTTTTTGATTGTCATTATGGAATTGACAGTTTCTGAGAACAAAATAAATATTCCACAAGAACTAAACCCCAAACTCAATTACAGGGTTATTCCTGAATCCCCACGATGGCTGATATCTCAAGGAAGACTTGGAGAAGCGGAAGACATCATCCAAAAGGCTGCAAAAATGAATAAGGTGACAGCACCGGTCATAGTATTTGATCCTTTGGAGGTAAGCATTCATGGGCATTTGTTCTTCTCTGTGATGCCAAACACATGTACTCTTGACTCCATAACATACTATTATTTTCCTTATACCTAAACATGCATTGAGCTTTCACTAAATAAAAGGCCCTAAACTACATATTCTTAGTGCTCCAAAGATAACTTTGACACAGGTCTTTCATATGTGTGTGTGTGTGTGTGTGTATTTTCCCCTAATTCCATGTTAAAACAATTTTTAACATTTTTTTTAAGTTTTGGGTTCCAAATTCTATCCTTCCATCTTTTCCTCTTCCCCTCCTCCTTCCCTGAGATGGAAGCAATCAAATATAGGTTATACATGTCCCACATATAATCTGATGGGAGAAATAAGGCAAACCAATAAGTAACCAACACCAGGGGGTCATCATGTCATCAAAAGTCAATGATCACCAGAGGAGTGGAACAGAGGCTTTGACGTGCCTGTCTGACTCTATCCACAGGATATCTAAATTTTCATTCACTCATTCAACAAACATTAAGCAAATACCTTCTTCAAGGCACCTATGTACAGCTATAGAGATAGAAAGAAAAATAAAAAATGGTCCCTGCCCTCGGGGAGCTTTCATTTTATCGGGCCCATAAGAGCACATTGATGAGACTTGGGGGGGATCTGTATGGGTTTGTGTTTAGTTTGGCATAAATCTAGGAAGGCTTCCCGGAGATTGGAAATGGTGAGTTTGGGTTTGCATTTTGAAACATGAAGGTACTAAGAACATTGGTTTTGTTGCAGTGAAGACTGTGTTACTCCATGTTTAAGAAGTAGCAGAATCTTGGGGCAGCTAGGTGGTACAGTGGATAGAGCACCAGCCCTGAAGTCAGGAGGACCTGAGTTCAAATCTGGCCTCAGACCAAGCACTTGACACTTACTAGCTAGCTGTATCATCCTGGGCAAGTCACTTAACCCCAACTGCCTAAAAAAAAAAAGTATCAGAATCTTGTGATGTTTCTAGAATCACATTGGGAGGTAGGTGGTATGGTAGCTAGAGTCCCGGAGACAGGAAGACCTGATTTCAAATCCTGCCTCAGGCATCTCTTCATTTTAACGACACTGGGCAAATCACTTAACCTCTCTTAGCCTCAATTTCCACAAAATGGAAACAATAATAACACCCACCTCACAGATTATTGTGAGGATGAAATGATGTATTCTAAAGCTTCTGGTAACTTTATAGTGCTACGTAAATGCTAGGTATTATTATCATAGATTTTAGAGCTAGAAATCACTGAGTCCAACCTCATTTTACAGATGAGGAAACTCAGTCACAGAGAAGTCAAGTCCATCCTTGAAATAATTATTCCGCTTAGCCAGCCCACCTGAACTGGCATTGTTGGTAAATGTCACCCTTCTAAATTCAACCCAATTCAAGAAGTATTTATTGAGTAAATATTAAGTTCTTAGCAGCCCTGTGCTAGGAAGACAGAAGTCCTATGTACCTACCCTTGAAGAGTTCACAGTCCCCTGGAAGAGACATGAAACAATTATAGAACCATGTACAATTCAGAATGATCAAATGGAGTAAGTTAAGGACCAACAAGACGAATGTGGCAGAGAGGAGATGAGACCATCCTATCCCATGAGGATGCCAGATTAAGTAGTTGTCACTGTATATTCTAGAATCTTCTTTCCTTTATCTAATCCCAAAATCATCTCCATTCTTTTAGCCCCAGGAGCTAACGCCATTAGAGCAGCAAAAGGGATACATCCTGGATCTATTCAGAACTCCTCACATTGCCATAATGACCATTATGTCTTTGATGCTGTGGTAAGTGTCCAGACTGACCTGCAAATGCATGTCTACTACAAAGAAACTCATGGAGTTGTTTGGGATTGGTTTGCTTAAGTCAGGGGAAGCAGTAGGCACTAGGGCTGGAATCCATATCCCTGACAAATAAGAATAGTGTTATTCCAAGTGATTTAGAATTGACTCTAAATTCACTTTCCAGAGTTTGACAATGATGAATATTTAGGAACTTTATATAAGTCCTTGATTTTAAATGACAAAGTAGGCTACTAGAACTATGCCCTGGAGCTATTACTAGCAAATAGGCCTTTGGCCTAGGGTACCAATGTTAAAGGGTGCCAACATGGTAGGAGTTCAGGGCAGGGGAAGCGAGTGAGGAGGGGAAGATTCCATTCTGAGTGGTACAACTACTGCTAGGCTCACAGCCCCAGGGTCCTGAGGCCTATCTTCCTCCTCAACCTTGATGAAGCTGGGCCAGACTCTCTGAGCAATGGGTCAACACCTCTCCCAGAGTGCCTGCTCCACTACTCCCTCTCCCCAAACCCTGCAATTCAATTTGCCTCAGGTACATTCATTCCTAGTTGCAGCTTTGCCATGACTCATCCCGAATGAGTCTTCTCAACTCCTTTGAAATTAAGAACAAGATGACTGACCTGAATGATATCTGAGCCACCGCTATTAGTTTTGAAGCCAATTCCAGTTCTACACTAGAAATTACACTGTTGGATCACAACAATCTAAGACTCCCCAGTGCCATAATGAAGGAGGGCATTTAATTTAACAGGGCATTTAAAAAATATGCTTGCTATGGTTTAAGTTAAAAATGACCTTAGGACTGAGGGTAGGATCTGATAGTGAAGACTGTCCCTTCTGAGAAATAGGATAAAGGTGAAGAGCAGACCAAGGCTATCAGGACTGTTGGAGCAAAAAGTTTCTAGCTCTATCTACTGCATTTTGAGTGCTCATCACTCTCTGTTCTTCTTCCCAAAGGTTAATCATTTATATTATGTATAATTTATAGATTTATGACAATCTTCTAGATCATTTCCTGATATGACTTGAACATGGCAGATGCTGCTGCGGCTACTACTACTGTTGTTATTGTTATTGTTCAATTGTTTCAATGATGTTCAACTCTTTGTGACCCCCTTTGGGGTTTTTCTGACAAAGATACTGAATTGGTTTGCCATTTCCTTCTCCAGTTCATTTTACAGATGAGGAAACTGAGGCCAACAAGGATAAGTGAGTTGCCCAGAATCACACAGCTAATAAGTCTTGTCTGAAGCCAGATTTAAAATCAGAAAGATGTGTCTTCCTGACTTCAGGCCTGGCACTCTATTCACTGCAACACCTAGCTACCCCACTACTACTACTGCTGCTGCTATTCGCTTTTTTTTTTCAGTTTAGAAATAAATATAACATTCCATGGAAAGTAAATACATATTTAGAAAACTTTGAGAGACATGTATGCTAAGAGGGACTATCTTTATTAGATGGCCAAATATCTTTCTAAATTTAGACAAATTATCATATGCAAGTCACCAAAAGCCAAGTCACCAGATGATATACTTCAGATTTGTAGTTTTCTTTTTTCTTGAAAATGTCCTCTAAAATAGCAACTGGAAACCACCACCATCATCTCTGAAGCATTATGTACCACAGGACAAAATCTAACTCTGTTGGTCCATATATTGTCTTACATACTTAAAGATACGTAAAGGACCTTTTTTTTGAACACCAAAAGCACACGGACCTTGACTCCTGCAGAAGCTGGGCCCCTTCCAAAATACCAAACGGAGGGGTGGCCCCTAAACAGAGAGCTTTATAATAGACACTTGCCAATTTTACAGTACATCCACTTTTAGGCTGCATCAAAACATCTGTGCCTATGAACAAACAATTCCCCAATTATGCAATTGCCCAACTTCTTATAAAATAGTGTTACAGAGGACTTTGAGTGGGAAAAGTGCAAGATTAGGAACCAGAAGACCGAGTATCAACCTACAGCTCTTCTGCTTACTGACACTGTCCACATCGCTTAAGTTCTCTGGGCTTCAGTTTCTCCATCTCTAAAGTGAAGGAATTAGTCTAAATGGCTTCTAAAGGCCCTTGTCATTCTGTCCCCATGATTCTATGATCATCTCTTCTGGCAGTCCAAAGAGCAGATTGGAGAGAGCAAAATTATTAGTGTGTCCATAAATAACTCTTCATTGTACCAGGTATCCCAAAAGTCTTAGTGCAGTTTGAAGCTTTAATAGTTTTAAGCTATTCATAACAAAATCATATGACCTATAAGATGACCTGAGGTATAACACATGCCTTCAGAAGAGTTGAAGCTTTTTAAGGTCTCCTATTTTCTGCTGAACTGTTTTGTTATAGCTAACGGGATTTTTGAGGCATATGAAAAGTTTTTCCACAGAGGACACACTTGGGATTCATCTTAGCTCTGTTCCAAATCAATGTCTACTTTTTTTAAACTAATACAGCTTTTATTTGAGGCTTAAAGATTGGACAAGTATCTTAAATATTGCCCACAGGAGAAGGAAGGAAGGAAGGAAGGAAGGAAAGGACGGAGGGAAGGAGGGAGGGAGGGAGGAAGGGAGGGAGGAAGGAAGGAAGGAAGGAAGGAAGATACAACAAAAATACATAGATGAGAGAAGAAGGAATTTCAGAAGCAAATATGGCAAGTAGCATGGTATCATGTTAAATTGGATATATGCTTTTTCAAAACCAAGTTGTACACAATTCATATACAATTCTCACAGTTTGACATATAATCCTCTTTTTCTTTTCTTCACTGTATATGGAAATGTTCATGTTTGTGACATGCATAATAAAACATTAAAAAACAAACATAATAAAGCACCATTTTCAAAAATTATCCCTAAGTTTAAGATCTAAGGATAATCCCAGTTGTGGTGTGGAAGGTGAGGCAAAGAAATAAGCATTTATAATGTAATGCCTACTGCCAGGCACTGGGCAAGTACTTTACAAATATCATTTCATTTGATCTTTACAACAACCCTGTGAGATAGATGCTATTATTATCCCCATTTTACAGTTGAAGAAACTGAGGCAGACAGAGGTTAAGTGACTTGCCCAGGGTCACATGGCTATTAATCATCTAAGGCTGGAATTGAACTCAGGCCTTCCCGACTCCAGGCCCAGCTCTATAGGAAATTAACAATGAAGCTCAAAGATGACAGAGATGATAAGTGACATTTGTGGACACTGGGATTAAATAAATACAGAACCCTAGACATAAAGTATCTCACTATTTTTATTGTGCTGTGCTCTCAGAAAGACACATTGGAACCCTTTCCTGCAGAACCGTGTTGTACCCTTTAAAAAAAAAGGCGTTACAAACTTCACAACCATCAGCAAGGACAAATAATAAGGGAGCAAAGTCTTAAAGAAGAAAAAACCTTTAGCATTTAATAAAGTATTGCCAACTGAATTAACAAGTAACTCATAAACAAAAAATGGGTTTGACCTGTGACCCCTCTCCCAGTTCTTTCAGAGGTTTGCTACCTTTGGCTTGTTACCTTTCTTTAAACAGAGCCATAGACCATGTGTTTACAACTCTGATTCTTCAGATCCTGACTAACATCACTTGGTATAGTTCTTCTTCTAGTTTCTCATATCAATTGCTTTTTATAAACCCACAATGTTCCATGACATTAAGTACTCTAGTAATTTTACTGTCCAATCCTAAATCAAATGAGCTGGAGGTCTGTACTACATAAATAAAGCAGCTGTGGATATTTTGTACAGAAAGATTATTTATTCTTTTGCACAATGTTTATAGGATAAAATCCTAGAAATGTAATTTCTGGGTCAAAAGGTATGAGTGGCTTTGTGACTCATAATGTTATTGTCAAAGTGCCCTAAAAATCGTTTGCACCAATTGATGACTTAACTAGTAGTAATAGAGTATCGGCTTGCCCATAGCCTGGCAACATTTTATCTTTGACTATTTTTCCCATTCTGGATTCTATTGGGTAGTATCTTAAAGTTGTCTCGAAGTGCATTTCTTCGATTATTGAGGAATCTACTAATTTTTTTTCATATGGGTATTAGCGATTTTAATTTCTTAGATTAGATTATACCTACAGGAAAAATCTCTAGGAAATCAATAATTTACCAGAGCTGCCTGTTTGGTTTAACTATCTGTATATAATCCACATGAATTTTCATTAGCAGATTTTTTAAATTTAATTTTTAAAAATTTAAATTAAAAAAAATTCACCAAATTTGAGTGGTAAAGGAAATTTCAATTATGGGGCAAATGTGTCTAATTCTCTCCTAAGGACATGTACTTTCTAATCTAATGTAGATTTGCTCTTACATCCAATTGTATAACAACCAAAAGTTCCAATAGTTCTCTCAGGAAGGATGTTTTTCATACATTCCTCAGAATTTGGAGATACTCTGTTTTCTGTCTCATCATGTGCTTTATAGCAACAATTTATATATAGCAGAACCTTCAAAGTTTAGTTATTTTTTCCCCCACTGTGCAGATTCTAATTGAAAGTAAACTGTAACTTGAGCAGCTAGGAAGGGAAGAAGATAGAGGATTTGTCCTAGAGTCGAGAAGACTGAAGTTCAAATCCAGCCTCAGACATGTTCTAGCTAAGTGACCTTCAGCAAGTCCCTTGACCTGTCTCTTTCTCAGTTTCCTCATCTGTAAAATAAGGGTAATAATAGCACATATCACCCAGAGTTGTTTTGAGATTCAAATGAGACGACATCTGCAAAGCACTCAGCACTGTACCTGGCACACAGTATTAGGTGCGATATAAAAGCCCATTTTTATTATCATTATGTAATTACCACATGATGTGCAGCCCACATTTTATGGAATTAAGAAGCAATATGGGCCCTTCATTCTCCTTGCCTCACAATGAGTTTCATTTTATTTCTGAATTTAACTGTACATAGGCCTTCCTCTATTACCCTGCTACCCATGTATTTCTGTCTTTTGGTATAAGAATGAACTCTAGGCTATTCCTATTTTTTTTATTGGTGTGGCTGAAAAACTTTTCCTTGAATAATAGTGCTAAAGGATTAACATTCTATAGGGTATCAAGAAAGACCGATATTTCCAAGCCAACTAGTTCTCAAATCAATAGGTTGTTGAAGTCTTAGCCATAAAGTACCTCTGGGACCAATCCTTGACCGAAGTAAGATTGGCATGATCAAACCCTCTTCATCCTTTTCTTCTCCTCTGTCTTTCAGGATGCTAGTGTCAATAGGTTACTTCGGTCTCTCTCTCAACACTCCTAACTTGCATGGAGATGTCTATCTGAATTGTTTCCTATCCGCTGCCATTGAAGTCCCAGCCTATGTGATAGCCTGGATGCTGCTTCGAAACCTGCCCCGACGATATATCATTGCTGGGACGCTATTCCTGGGTGGAGGGGTTCTCCTTTTCATTCAGCTGGTACCCACTGGTGAGCTTACTTGATATCACATACTAACTTTACAGAAAGGAAAAAAAAATGGAACCTTTTTTTCAGGCCATCAAAATGTCATGTATACTATATGTTGTCATAGCTTACTATCTTTGAACCTCCTAGTAAAACGAATGAAATTAATATCCTTTGCCACTAGAGCACCACGAAGTTAGTCTTGGTTTTAGACGTGTGAGTAATGATTTGATTCAGTTCAATTAAACATATATTAAGAACCTACTATGTGCAAGTTACCATAATGGGCACTGGAGAAACAAAGACAAAATGGAAATGGTCTCTGTCCTCAGGACCTTTTACTCTGTTGAAAAGATATACTTGTTCAATCAATGTAGGAAGCAGTGAAGGCAAAGGGGGGAGCCAGGCAAAGTGCTTAAGGAATATTTGATGAGGGAATGAATGTTTTCATTAGGAGGAGAAAGGAAGACTACATAGAGGAGATGATATGGAAGCCCATCATCCTAGAGGAAGATGGGATCTAGGCCAAAATGAAGAGGGAATTTATTGCAGGCACAAGTGCCTCCCAGGCTTATTTCAGGAAGAGCTAATGGGTCAGTTTGATGGAGACATTAAGTACATAGAGCGAAATGATGTGAAATAAGGTCAGAAAGGTAGATTCAAGTCAAATGTGAGACTGAGAGATTTATATTCAGCTCCTTCCAATTGCAAGAATAAATTGACCTTACTAGGTTTCTCTGTACTCTTGTGTTTGTATTTCAAAATTCTTATTCAGCTCTTGTCTTTTTGTCTGAAATGTTTGAAAATCCTCTATTCTGTGAAAGATCCATCCTCCCCTCCATAGGCTGATCCTCAGCTCTTTACTATTTGTCCTAAGTCTATATCTTTTGCCTTTTGGAATATTATATTCCAAGACCTCCTCTTATCTTTAGTGGAAGCTGCCAGGTGATCTCAACTGTAGTTCCTTAGCACCTAAACTATTTCTTAATGCTTGCCAGATGTTTTTTTTGAGGAAGCTTTCTTTTGAGAGTTCCTTTTAGGAAGTGATTGGTGGATTCTTTCTCTCTTTACTTTGCCCTCTGGTTCTAATAGATCTGTATAGTTATCATTTATGATTTCTTGAAATATAGTATCCAGGCTTTTTTTATGAGTGTGGGGAATCATGGTTTTCAGGGAGTCAGATGATTCTTAAATTATTTTGACCAGTTTTTAGGTCTATTGTTTGTTAGTAATAGATATCTGACATTTTATTCAATTGTTTTAATCTTCTGATTTTGTTCTAATATTTCTTGTTGTCTTATGGAGCCATTGATTTCTATTCAGTATGGTCTAGGTTTCAGTCCATTACTTGAGCAAAGTTTACCATTTTCTGTTCTAACAATTTTTTCTCTTTCTAATTCTTTCCTCCAAAGCATATGTATGTGTGTACATATATATATACACACATACACACATACATATACATATATATTAAATCATTTAGTTCTTTTCTTCTAGATATTCATGTAGTACTTACGGAAAACCCATTTTTCCTTTGAGTTTCCACAGTTATTCCTATTATTTGCTTCTTGTTTGGGGAGATTTATAAATCTATAACAAAAATTTTAAATTGTGGTCAGTGTTTTATTTGACTTACTTCTCCAGCTTTTACTTCTTGAATTGGTGCTTTGTGCTAGGGCCAGGCTCTGACTCCTGGTGTGCTTTTGTGTGAGGTAGGTGGCCCTGCTTAATGTTGCTATGTAACCTGGGTTCTTATGTTGACCTCCACCTCCCACAGTTAGGCCTTCCTGGATTTTTCAGGTTCAAAATACTGGGTCTTCTTTAATGTGTTAAGACAGAGTGCTAGGGATCTTGGAGCCCAAAGGCCTGGGATATCCTAATGTGAAAGTTCCCATGCCACCGGTCAGGCCTTCCAAAGCTTTCTTGGGGGAGCCCTCCACTCTTTTTGCCTCTGGTCACAGAGCCCTGCAGACCTCATGTTTCTCTGTACTGGTATGATATTGGTTTATTGCCTGTTTTGAACTCATACTGACTTTGCTGACATTCCTTCTCCTATTGCCAGTGGGCTTCTGGCTGACTTTTTGTGCATTCCGTGAGTGACTACAATCTATCTATCTGTCTATCTATCTATCTATCTACCTACCTACCTATGTATCACTACTATAGTTTCACATTTGATTTCTTGATGATTATTCAATTTGATACAAATTTCAAGTTTTTGCTGGAGTGGGTATGTGGGAGCTGGTCTGTCTGCCTTCCAATACAGCCATCTTCATGACCATCCCCTCTTAGTGGCTGAAGTAGAGAGGAGACAGGGGTCATAAGAGTTGAGGAGGTAAAACTGCTAGAAAATGCTAGAGCATTCAAAAGGACATCAACATGAATACTGAAATCACTAGAGATCAAGGTAGGTCATTGGGCAAAAAGGAAAAGTTGGGAGCCAGAGACTAAAATCTCTGAGAAAGGAAGGAAGATTATCTGGAGTTAAAGACATGATGACAATACTTGGACAATGTGATATAGACAGATGGAGTAAATTTATCAAGAGATAGCTGACTCATGGCGGTGGAAAAAAGCCTCAAAGTGGTGAAGGAGAACAAGAAGAATGCTGAATGGTCCCCTTGGCCCATTATGTTGCTGGATAGAAGAGAAGGATGAACCAGCACTGAAGACAGCAGCAAGGGATATGGTTCCTTAAGGAGAACATCAGATTTCTATGAGTACCACAATCCTATCTAACAAGCTTTTATTGAGTACCTATTATGTGGGAGTCGCTATGCCAGATGCTGAAGATGCAAAGACAAAAATAAAAATGGCCACTCTACTCAAAGAGCTTACCATTGGGTTCATGAGCTATGACCCATCACCCTTTCTGGTTGGCGCTGTACAGAAGTCACCAATTCCAAACTGGATCCCTTTCTGTCATGCTTGAGATCCCTGCTACCCACACAGGGTTAGTATTTGTTGGCTAAAACACTAGTGTTCCTTTTAGACACACTTGGGAGCCAGACTCTACCTACCTCCACAGGACTCACTGTCTACAACTTAGGCCTTGGCTTCCCAAGGGCTCTCATGGTCGAGTCCCTCTCAAAAGAATATGAGAGAGGGGCAGCTAGGTGGCGCAGTGGATAGAGCACCAGCCCTGAAGTCAGGAGGACCTGAATTCAAATTCGGCCTCAGACCAAACACTTGACACTTACTAGCTATGTGACTCTGGGCAAGTCACTTAACCCCAATTGCCTGAAAAAAAAAAAAGAATATGAGAGAAAGACATCTAAGATGGAGAAATTTGTTAATGATAAAGTGGGAATACCAGATGACCCAGTGGAAGAGAAGAGCAAAGAAGAAAATAAGAATTGGGAGGAATAGGTCTGGGCTGAATAAAGATGACAGTACCAGGAGAAATAGTAGGGGAAAGGGGTTTTGCTTCAGCAGACTGGAACCCTAAATCTCAAGGACTAGAGGAGCAGGAGGTAGGAATTTGCTAGCCATAGGACAGAGACAATACCAAGTATGAAAAAGGCTAAATAAGCATCAGATTTTTATTAGAATTTGGGTGTGAAAGTGTTTCTGCTGCTGATATCTCCCAAGTGAAACCCTCTGGTAGATTTACTGGGAGATGGAAGGGTCAATGGTAATGATAATCTGGGAGGTCTTGGGATAAAGAAGGTTTCAATCCCACGTGGCTACTTAAGTCTTCAGATGATGAAGGTGCCTGGAACAGTAACAGCCAACTCACTTCACCCCTGCTTTGACAGAGATCCCCTAGGTTAATTGGAACAGAGATAGAAGGGTCAATTGGGAAGGTCAGTTTGGGTCAATTGGCAACTGGGAAGGTTGTGTGATAAAGGACCTTTAGAACTGCCATTTTTATTGCTATGGAGTTATATAAAGTCTCCTCTTTCACATATTTAGATAAAGCAGTCTCTCACAGGAGGAGAATCTGATTAGGAGATTATGTAACTATGTAATAGAGGCATTCTGCATGCAGCTACTTAGCTACTATGGGATATGTAAGGGGCTCCCTGAACCTTTAGATGTTCTCTGGGAATCAGAAATGCATGGTCCTAAAACCGAGCTTTGCTTCATATCTGTATATAGTATGTATGTGTGTGTGTGTGTGTGTGTGTGTGTGTGTGTGTATATACACACACATACACACATACACATATATACACACACATATATACATATGTGTGTGTATGTATATATGTGTGCATATGTGTATATATGTATATAGTATATAGTAGCATGGGAACCTACAATTTGAAGTCAAAGGACCTTTTATTAAGGATCCTTTTTTTTAATTAAGGATTTATTAAGGATCCTTTTATTTAAGGGATTTGTTCTATGAAGTTTGGATTCAGTCAGAGGGCTGCACTTGAGGACCTACAGGGCCACATGTGGCCTCAAGGCTGCAGGTGCCCCACCCCTGTCATACAAGCTCCTGCCTAGGTTCAGAGATTCACTGGCCAAGTGAGGAGCTAAGTATCACATACAATAAATTTCAATGATAAGCATATTTATTCTTTCTTTTTTTTCATGTTATACAGTTGAGCACAGCTTTAAAATGCTGACTTTAAAGAGTGATGCGATAAACACTCTGCATATACTTTCATCTTTAAAGCCAGCATAGAAAGGAAAGGCCCTTCTCTTTGGGGGTTGTTATTTGTTTAACTACATTAACTCACTAATGACCTAGCTGGAACTATGTGTGACAAATGCACAGAAGCCGTACAAAGGTCACCTAAATCATAAGGCATATGGGATTAAAGTAGTAGTACAAAGCAATCTTCCTTTGTCATCTCTGATCACGTCCAGATAGGCAACCCCAGAATAACACTCCACTTATAAAGAGAGGGACACAAAAGTCTTTTGAGACAGCCTGTATTATTTGTTGCTTTTCAGCATGATGAAAAACAGCAACTGGCTTTCCAGACAAAAGGGAATGTATAAAAAGCTTCCTTAATTAATAGGAAATATACAAAAAACAGCATCTAAATAGGAGGAAAGGAAATTGGGGTTAGACAATTACTTCTGAAACTCACATCTTCTCATTGGATCTATTTTCCAGAATACCATTTCCTGTCCATTGCCCTAGTGATGCTAGGAAAGTTTGGAATCACCTCTGCATTCTCAATGCTCTACGTCTTCACAGCTGAACTCTACCCAACACTTGTCAGAAACATGGCTGTGGGCGCCACTTCCATGTCCTCCAGAGTGGGTAGTATCATTGCTCCTTACTTCGTTTATCTTGGTAAGATTTTTACTTAGGACTTGTTCATTCTTTCCAAGCCAAGAAAAATTGATTTAATTCATTAAAACCTTAAAGTGGTTAATCTCTGACAGGTTTTTTTTTTCTATTTTAATACCTTTAAAAATGTTTTTATTGGTGACTTTTGTCTTTGCAGCAGTTATTTCTGGAAACATACACCTTCCTCTTCCAGTTTAAACTCTCCTATGTTAAAGAAAAACAATTAAAACAAAAACATCTGATACAACTATGTCTGACAGTGTATACAACATTCTTCCCTAGTTACTCCCCTACCTCTCTGTCACCAGGTGGGAGGTGTGTTTTATTATGTGTTCTTAATCAGTGCCTTCTGTTTTTACATCACAACCGTTTCTGTAGATCATTCTCCCCTTTGTAAGCCTTCCCTGTAGCAAATTGGTTAGCCAAAACAAATTGACACTATGACTTCATGTGACAATGTTTGCAAGACTCTGCATCCATAGTTAGGTATCTCCATTTATCTCTATTTCCCTATTTTCATTTTATTGCCTTCATTTTAATACTGATTTTCCTGAACAACATTAGATGATGGAATCTCAGAGTCTTACTACATTTACAATGCCTATAATTTCTGCAGTGCTATCAACCACTTTCCCCTACTCTAAGTTCTCTGGGGGAACAGCTAAGTGGCACAGTGGACAGAGTTCTGGGTCCCATCTTACTTAATTCAAATATGGCCTTGACCACTTACTAGCTGTATGACCCTGGGCAAGTCACTTGACCCTGTTTGCCTCAGTTCTTATAAAAGTGAGCCAGAAGAGGAAATGGCAAACCACTCCAGCATCTTTGCCAAGAAAGCCCTAAATGAGGTCACAAAGGGACAGACAATATGAAATGGCTAAACAAACAAAAAAGTTCTCCCACCTTGTTTCAACAAATGGGGGGGTGGTGCTGAGTTAGCTCAAGCTCCTCCAGTAAAAGTACAATCTGTTTCACATGGATGACCTACCTGGAGGCTCCCAAGGGAATGCAAAATTAAGCAAGTAAATGATTATGGAAGTCCAGAGGTTCCACTGAAGCTGCCAACGTGGAACTGACATTCCATACCTTCTTTCCAGCCTTTGAAGAATTTTAAATCTGAACCCCTAGCCTCAAATTCTACTGATATTTTAGCAAAGGAATCTCTATATGTAGCATCCACAGAGGCCTTATTACAAGCAGTCTCCTTTGATTAAACTGAATCAGATGTGTTGTACATAGCAAGTTTCCTACACTGGGTGAAAGGTGGGCCTAGATGAGTCCTAAGGTTCTTTCCAACTCTAAGGTTCTGGTTCTATGATTCTCATTTTCTACTAGGTGCTTATGACAGGATCCTGCCCTACGTTCTTATGGGCAGCCTAACTGTGCTCATTGGCTTCGTTACCCTGCTTTTTCCAGAGAGCCTTGGAATGGCGCTACCAGAAACCTTTGAACAGATGCAGAAGATAAAAGGGTAGGTAGATTTGATCTAATCTCTGCTAAAGTAAAATAGAACTGTTATTATCACTCAGAAGTATTTAGAGAGAAACCCATTAAATAACTTAATGCCACTAAAAGGACCCTTTCTTTTTTGTGTTTTTCTTCCTTCCTTCCTTCCTTCCTTCCTTCCTTCCTTCCTTCCTTCCTTCCTTCCTTCCTTCTTTCTTTAAAATGTTTGGCATGGTTGGGGGTGGGGGAAAGGTTCTAGGTTTGTGATTTCATTGTGTACAGAATTCCCAGCATGTCAGCCTTCACTGATGCAGAACAGCAACTCTTAAGCCCCTTATGGTCCTAGAGAGTTGCCTGGGGCCCTGAGATGTTAAGCAATTTACATGATCCCCACAGCTAGTGGGTGTCAGAGACAGAACTTGAACCCAGGGCTGTCTTTCCATCCATTATAGCAAATCATTTTAACATTTATTAGGTGGTTCTCATTCCTAAGAGGCAAAGAGGTTTGAAAGGTCAAATCATGTGTTAACAAAACTGCATGACACATCATTGTAATTAAACACATATCTCAGTACCTAAAGCAATCTCATTAACCTGGATACTTCTTTCAATGCCCATTTAGACCCACCAATCCCTTTTCATCCTGTGAAATTCCTCCCTGTGTTCTTTCATCAATCCTCTGTGGAGAATCTACCCAACTCACTGGAGATCTTCTTTAAAGTGTTTTCACATTCTCAGAACGCCAGTGTAGCCCTTGAGCATCCGTCAGTTTGTAGCCTCACATTTGTTGATAATAACAACAAAAAGAATTGACATTTTGATATCTTTATCATATGGGAACACCCAATGTGTTTTTCACCTGACAAAGTTCTCAGGGCTAAATGGGGGTGGTTCAATTGTTTGTTTGACTGATTGGCTATATATGTGTGTGTGTGTGTGTGTGTGTGTATATATATATATATAAGCATATATATAGCCTATATATATATATATATACACACATATATAAGCATTCTACATCATTTATCTCAACTAAGTAGCACATTGCATGACATATTATAAGTGCTTAGTAAATGTTTGTTGTTCTTCAGTCATGTCCAGCTCTTCATGACCCAGTGAACCATAGTATGTCAGTATTGTCTATGAGGTTTTCTTGGCAAAGATACTAGAATGGTTTGCTATTTCATTCTCCAGTGGGTTAAGGCAAACAGGTATCAAATGACTTGCCCAGCATTACATAGCTAGTAAGTGTCTGAAGCTGGATTCGAACTTGGGTCTTCCTGACTCCAGGCCCAGCGTTCTATCCATTGAGCCACCTGGTTGCTTCAATGTTTACTAACTGACAGTCCTTATAAGGACCCTGTCAGGTAAATTTTATAGGTATTAGTCTCCTCATTTTATTTAACTGAGGCTTGGAGAGGTTGTGACATTTCCATAATTAAGCAAAGTACAAAAAGCAGAATTTAAATGTGGATCCTTCCTGCTCCTTTCCCTTATTCCATGCAGTCATTTGATACATGACTGGTAGCCTGGATACCATCTATTATTCTATTATTATTATTATTATTAGTCTATTATTCATGCTAAGTGGCCTAATCTATTTTTTTTTTTGCTTTTTGGTGAGGCAATTGAGGTTAAGTGACTTGGCCAGGGTCACACAGCTAGTAAGTGTCAAGGGTCTGAGGTCAGATTTGAACTCAGGTCCTCCTGACTCCAAGGCTGGCGCTCTATCCACTGCACCGCCTACCTGCTTTGAGCTAGGTGGCCTAATCACATCCACAGTGTGATCCATTGTTCATTGGGTCAGTCACAACTTTGATTTTTCTAATCAAATACTATAAGAGTTGGAAAGTTACCAGTGAATGACCATTTTCTCAATTTTCATTCTTCTTGAGCTCTCTATAGCTTTTGACACTGTCACACACCCTCTTCTTTTTGATACTCTCTTCTCAGTAGGTTTTTGGGACATTACTCTCTCCTGGTTCTCCTAACCATCTGACCACTCCTTTTCAGGCTCCTTTGCTGGATCTTGACCTAGGTTAAGCCCACTAACTGTAGGTGACCCACAGGGCTCTGTCCTGGGCTCTCTTCCCTTCTCCCTCTGTACTGCTTCACTTGGTGATCTCATCAGTTCCCATGGATTCCATTATCTACTGATGATTCTCAAATCTACTTACTCAGCCCTAACATCTCTCCTAAACTTTCAGTCTCACAGATCCAAATTATTAGACACCTTGAATGAGATATTTTGCATCAACATGGCTACTGAACTCATTATCTTTTCCCCCAAAACCCTCCCCTTCCAAACTTCCCTCTTACTATCAAGGGCACCACCATGCTCCAAGTGACCCAGGCTCACAATCTAGGTGTCATCCTTGATGCTTCACTGTCTCTCACCACCCACATCCAATCTGATTTCAAGTCCTGTTGATTTCACCTCTCCAACATCCTTTTCTCCTCGCATACTGCCACCACCCTGGTACAGGCCTTCATTACTTCAAGCATGCACTACTGCAATAGTCTGTGGCTGATCTGCCTGCCACAAGCCTCTACCCGCTCTAGCCATTCAGCCCTACCAAAGTGATCTTCCTAAAGTTCATGTCTGACCACATCGCTCTCCTACTCAATAAACTCCAGGCGCTCCTTATCATCTCCAGGATTTTATATTAAACCTTGTGTTTGGTGTTCAAATCTCTTTATAACCTACTCCCATCCCCACCTTATACTACCACCGCCACCTCACATACTCAAGTGACATGGGGTGGCTGCCTTGCTGTTCCTTGAACAAGACATTTGGTCTCCTAACTCTGGAAATTTTCACCTGTTGTCCTGGAATGAGCTCCTTCCTCATCCCTGCCTATTGGCTTTCCTGGCTTCCTTCAAGTCAAAGCTACCCCATCTAGCTGATTTCAAGTTCCGTTTTCTGTTCCACATCCTTTCTATAGTGATTTCAACTAGCGGTCTTCAAGTCTTTGTTGAAGATGCCTGGAGAGGCTAAAACCATTGCTACTCAAGGTGGTCCATCCCACTTTTGGATAACTGTCATTATTATAGTTTTTCATATATAAAGCCTCCACCTAGGTCTACGATTTCCACCTAGTGTTTGTAATTCTTCCCTTGCAGGTCAGGTATAATTCACAGAATCACAAAAATTCGCAATCTCCCTATTTATCTTGAATTTCAATTTCTATTATGCATCTTGTTTATCTTCACAGTTCAAAGTCTTTCTACTTGAAGGAGAAAACAGAAGCAAAATAATGATGGAATAGTTCTGATTTCTTTCCATCACACATTGTTCTCATTCCATCCAATGCAACAGTCTTTTCTTTGGTTAACATCTTTTTCACCAATGTATTTGAAAATTTCAATTTTATTTTTCTTAGCTTTAATTGATTACCCCAATTCACTAGGAGTTTTTGTGTTCTTAATACCATTCCAATATTACCATATCATGGTTTTTTTTGTTTGTTTGTTTTTTCCTTATCTGCTCTGGCTTCTATCTTCTATGAACATCTTTTTAATATCGAAGTTGATCATTTTTTTTGAGAACATTTCCCCTTTAATTTCATTTAAAATTGGTTTCTTGTGATTCTCATCTGTTGCTCATGTTGATAAAGGACAATTCCCCTAACACGCGCACACACACACACACACACACACACACATATCTTTTCAGTCTTACACCTTACTCCCAGTGACAAAGGCCTCCTTGCTATTCCTAAACACAACATTCCAAATCTCACCTCGAGACATTTTTACTCACTGTCCCCAGCGCCTGGAATGTTCTCTCTCTTCATCTCTGCCTCCATCTCACGAAATGACTCATTGTAATAAATAAGCAACCATACTCTCTCTACATTGAATAAATACTATGGGTCAAACATGTATGTTACCAGTTTTCAAATGGATGAACTGCTGTTATGATTAACATAATACAAATTCATTTAAGAGTATTGGTGAATTCATAATAAGCCTTTACAGAAGCAGAAGGGGACAGCATAGTACTGAAGACTACTTTGTAATCTTTCTGTTTTTCCTGGTTTATCTTTAAACAGAGAATTCATTACTTGTACTTATTTACTCACTGGCTCAATCCCACACACGTTATCCCAATTATATGCATATTACAATTCAGAGAAGGAGAAGAAGGAGGAGGAGTAATGAAAATGTCTTTACCATTTGACAAATGTTAAATCAATATGGCATTCAGCTACACACAAAGGGGCTTATCAACAACAGATTGGATGCTAAATGGCGAATTGGGGGGTTGTGATGACAAAGGGATCTTTGCATAGGTTGTTGGACTAGATGAGATGGTCTCTGAAGTCTCTTCTGTTTCTAAAATTCTGTGACTGTGTGGCTTATGAAATATTTAAGACAGGAGGGAAATTACTAAACAAATTTTATTTTACTAAACAGAAAACAATTTTTTTTTCAGTTTCAGATCCAAGAAAAAAACAGGGAACTCCAATGGGAGAGAGAAGAATCCCAAGGTTTTCATAACTGCATTCTGACCAACTTCTGTCACATTTGGTAAGCAGAGGTCTCTGAGACTGAGGAGAAACCAAAGCATATCCTGCCAGAAAGGACTACCTGATGGAAAACACAATGAGCATCCCATTATTGTCAATATCTTTGCCATATGATAAACTAGAGTACTGCTGTTTTTGATACCTTGTCTTGTCAACCAGGATCAAAATATGTTTCCATAGAATTCTCAGATGCAATGGCTTCATTTACATCTGTGAAGGAGGTCCACAATGCTTTTTGAGGACACAATAACTAAGAAGTGAAATGCTCAGGGTGTCTCACTTATTTTTAGACATGCAAATACCACCCACGTCAGAAAAGTCTCAGAGGTTAAAGGCAGGAGTACAGCTTTGGGTACTGAGAAGTATTTAGTTTTTATTTATTTTTTTCAATTGACACTGCACTTCCAATGCAGTTATTTCTGAAGCAAAAATATTTGGCATTCCCTATAAAGAAGAAAGAGTTTCTTAGTATTCCTATCCTCAATATTTGATGTACACTAATGTGAGAATCTTTTATCCTGGTATTTGAAGACATCTTTAAAAACATTTACTTTGTTTCCCAGATAACCTTCTTGAAATAAACTAATGGCAAAAGTCCTTATCATCGTGCAGGTAAAGTGTAGAGGTAAAGAAGCTGGTCAGGGTGACCCATCTGCTATTACCCACAATGGAGCTAGGATGATAATCCTTGGCATCATAGTCCAGTACCAGCATCCCTGTATAGTGCATTCTCATGAAAACTCCAAATTTTTCAGTATTCATTTTGAATATGAGAATTATCCTGTTGTATTAGGCTTGTTTACAAATCAGATATTTCTATTATATATTAGGAAAAGTTTGAAACAAAAAGTGCTGTTCATTGTTCATGGCAACAATCTTACCTAAGCACATTTTAAAATGGAAGCTGCTCAAAGCTAGAAATAGGTTTTTGTTTTTTAAAAAACATCATTAAAAACATCTCCTTTCCAGAAAAAGCTTCTCTGTTCCTGAGCATGACTATCCAGATGTGCCCCCCACCTTTCCAGTTATACATTGTCTGTGGCAGGCATGAGGAGGGTTTACCACTGGGGTAAGCTGATTAAGTTAGCACTCCTGTTAAGATGCAAAAGTTTGCGTTTGATGTTGGCTAGCCTACACACTAAACAATCAGACTGGAAATGCCAGTGTTCCTACTCAATCTTTATAAGACACTGTCTCTGAAAGCTGCTGAAGACCAAATCCTTGTTATCTAAGTATTGTCCACACACATTCCTCTTTAAAATATAGTTTTTCTGAAGAAAAATACAAAAGTGCTTGAAGCATCATTGCAATAAGGTGACTCATCTTGCTCCCCACAATGTGTAATACTACAGGGTATATGGAATAAACCACTAATGGCCACCAGATTGTCATATGTTTTGTATGGCTCCTGAAAATAATTTTCTGTGACAGAAAAATTTCTGTGTAATGAACCACTAATAGCCACTAGTTTTTTGATATGTCCTCAATGGCTCTTGAAAAGAATTATCTTCAACAGGAAACTTTATAGGTCTACGTACTTTTCAAAGGAATCTCTGATTTGGCATGAGACAAGTTTTTTTCATCATTTAAAGATGCTCATCTCAAAATCTTTGACATTGATATCAATTATTAACCTCCTTAAGAGAGGATTTGTCAGAGGGTACTATTAGTATGTGTGTGTATATGTATATATATACATATACATATATAGTATTGACACACTGAACCTATTACATATTATTACAAATGTAATTTTAAATATGGTAAAAGTATTTTATAGATCCCATGCCCCTTATGGAGCAAAAAACTTAGATATTCATTTTTTAAATATTTGGGATTGTGGGGTTCACCCCCTGTCATTTTCACTCATTCACTTTACCTGTTATTCAGTCTCATATATTCTAGAGGGGAAAATCTAAGTCTCCTTTGGGCCTTAAGGCCTCTGTCATTCAATTCAAATAAGTGTTCATTAAGGACATTTGATAGGGATGTAGTGTATGTATAATAACTGTCAAAGAGCAAAGGATTTATTCAGTAACACTGCCATGCTACTGTTTAACTTATGTAGTGTGGTTTTTATTTTTAATTATGGTTTGCTTCCTGAAAATTATACATGGTCAAGATTATAAAGTGAAACAATCTCTGAGAAATATTTTTTGGAAAGGTCATAATGCATTCCCTAACCAACAATGACTTGAATTTTAAACTGTGTCAGTGATTTCAAGATGGTACAATGTATAGAATGTATAAGTGCCTTAAACTTTAAATGTTAGAGCTGAAAGGGACCTAGAGATTACCTAGTCCAGACTTTTCATTTTGCAGATGAAGATACTGAGACAAAGAGGTGTGACTTGCCCACAGTTACACAGCTCAAGGCTAGATGAGGCCTTAGAATTCATCTAATCCAACCTCCCCCTCCCCCATTCTACAGATGAGTAAACTGAGGTCTAGAAGGGTGAAACGATTTACCAAGGTCCATACAGCTAGTATTTAAAATGGGATTAAAATGACTCTAAACCCAACAGTATCTCCTGCAATGCACTGCCAGCTCAGCTGGGATTCAGAGTGAGTCTTTTGATTCCAAATGTACAGGAACAAGGACAGATATCATTAAGAAATTATTTCATTTCATTATATTCATCTTTTGCTTTCTTTGGAAACACCTGTTGCTTTGTATTTGAACATTTGATATTACAAATTAGTAAAAAATAAAATGTTTCTATTTCTATTGCCTGATGATGTGTTTATTTAAATTTTATTTAAACCTTTACTGCTTTTTCCCTAGATGGAGGCATAACCATCCCCCTCACCCAGGCCCTGTAAATATAAGTCCAAGAGTTATATATGTTTCTATATTGGTAGACTAAGACTGTGTCTTCCACAGAATAAATTAGTTCTGTGGGAATTTTAGAAGCCATGATTTAAAGAGAGTCACAATAAATCCAGTATCATAATTCCCTTTTTTAACTTCCCTCTATACCCCAGTTTGATCTCATTCTGAATTCTTCCTTTAAGTATCAATGACAAGGTAAATTAGTTGTTGGCCCAGAAAGCACATCAGGAAAGCAGACGTTTCATCAGGGTTTTTAGAATGTCAAATTTTTAACTTTAAACATTTTCCCCCTTAAAACGAAAAGGTCAATATTGTACATTTTACTCCTATACTAATTTTAGCATATTTCCAAGTTCTTCATATTAAACTTAGTATCTTTAAAGTAAATTATAATTTAGGTAACTGTGTAAAAGAAATCTACTAGAGAGAAGATATTCATTAAAATGATGTTCTTTCTCTGTGCTTCTTTCTCGGGAGGTCACAATCTCTGCAAATACTTATGATATTAAGAATTGAAATCCCAGGCATAAAGGTGTATGACAGGTGTAGGTCCTGGGGCTGGTCCAGATGAATCTGCAGCCTCCCTGCTCTTATTGCCAGCTCATGGCTTTTCTTACCTCTCCCATCCCTAGAAAACTACAATTATCTCTTCCACATCACGACTTTCCCCATTGTGGTTGTGATATATTACAGGCCAGCATAATAAATTAAATGGGAATTTTTGGGGAGTTTTGCAGAAGCTGCAAGATGACATAAGAAGGCCAGCAGGCAACACAGGAAAAGTTTAGAAACTCAGAAATGCATAAAATATATGTATAGTTTTGTATAATATCAACATATTTTAGTCTTTTAATATCATAATTTAGATTTCTCTGGTATAAAAGGAGGGCCAAAAATTCTCACATGGATTTTCCAGAGAGTGGGGTCACCACACTCCTAACCTACTCAATGTGGAAGATGTAACTATATTTCCATCTTCCTCATGATTCTTCCTCCTAGCAACTCTTGCTTCATATTTTTTTTCTGGGTATGTGCCTTGATTCCACTGTATTATGGGAAAGTGAGCCCTTTTCCAATCGGCCTATGTATACTCCTCCTTCCCTTCTCACCTACTGTGTGCTTGCTACATGCCTTTATGCCATTTAATATATACTGGGAATTTTCTCCTCCTCCATAGCTGGAATGCTCTCCCTCCTCTACCCAACTGACTTCTTTTAAGTTTTACTTTCTACTGGAAGCCTTCCCTAAACCCCTATTAATTCCAATGCTTTTTCTCTTTTAATTATTTCCTACTTGTTCTGTATATAGCTTTCTATATATCTATCTATATATACATATAAATGTATGTATGTATGTGTATATATATTTGTTTGCCTATTGTCTTCCTGATTAGACTGTGTAAGCTCCTTGAGGGCAGGGGCTGTCTTTTGCTTCTTTTTATATGCTCAGCACTTAGCACAATGCCTGGCATAGTAGGTGCTCAATAAATGTTTATTGATGGATTCATCATGAGCACATTATTACAAGTTATGGAAATAAGATAAAGATGGAGAAGAAATAGGAGATGATGGTTCTGCACCCAGGCCAGAGGTCATGGGTATTATAATCAACTAGATAGGCATTGCTGTGACAGTATGAGGGCCCAGATTGGAATAGGACCAGTTTACCCCTCTATTACTAGCTGATATTACCCAAAAGACATATTTCATTCTTCTGTTTGATAGTGCCAAAAAAAATAGTACAGGAACTTAATCATTGTTAACTATGTATTAAACTAGCTGTAAAGATGCTCTGCCTTGATTCATTTATAGTGTCTTTTCCTGAAGGAATTAAAAGGAGTACCCTCATTAAACAAAAAATAAGACATTCATTTACTAGAATTTAAATAGCTGAACCCTAGCCAATAATTTCATTCAGGGACTAGAGGTTTGGAGTTCTTTGTAGAGAAGACTCCTGGAAAGTGGGCAGAAGAATAGGGATTTCTCTTTCTTCTTCCCACTCTTCATTGTCCATAGAGCCTAGTGATGGGGTGCTTGGGTGCTTGTGCTTGGACCCCAATTCCTTCCTACTCCCAGAAACACTGTCTCTGACAACCACTCCCCAGCCCAAGGACACTGTGCCTAGCAGTTATTCATGCATGGGCCTCAACACGACCCTTATTTGGGCTGCTCAGGCCCCAGCCCTCAGATCATGTATCTGGAAGCCTCCCAATTCTTTAGTTGTGAGAAAGCTTTCCTTTGTTGCAGAGCATTCTCTCATCAAGACAGAGGGGGAGAGGGGTGTTCTTGACCTGCCCAAGGACTCTTCCTCCTGCCAGACTTCAAAGATCCATCCCCCTTCCTCTCCGGTATACTCCCTGTACTTTCCCATCCATAGCCCCAAAGACACCTGAACCTTTGGATTACCTCATCAGTGTTCCTGGCATTTCTTTCCCATGCTCTTTTCCGTATAAACCCTAGCTGCATTCTCAGTCTCTTGCAGGATCCTTTAAGAATCCTTGCCCGCTGAAAAGCGTAACAATAAATCTTTGCCACCTTGAATTAAAGAATGCTTGAGTCTGTGAATTCATTCCAGATGACCCGTCCTGTACTCTGGTCTTTGAGGGGTCACAACCTCTCAATCTCTCAGCCCGCAGCACTAGTAGTGACTTGCTCACTTGTAAACATCCCATCCAGTAGTTCAATAGTTCTTTAGTTTGACAGAATTCAAGGCCCAGAGAGGGAGCCTATTCAGAGAACCACTCTATGGAAGAAGCAGCTTCAGGAACTATGGCTACCCTCCAGGGATTAAATCATTGAGTGTGACAGAAAATTGGAAGAATAGCCCAGGAGTGTAGCCCAGAAAAATAAATTGATTCTGGCCCAGATCCACCTTTTCCTCCACTCTTGTTTAGTGTCTAGCTCAGAGAAATATTCTATAATATCCAAATAGAACTCTGATTACTGCCCTGAAAGATCTCAGCTTCTTACAGAATCTAGAGTGTTGCACATTTAGGGGAGTATATTTTATATACTTTTAAACATATTTCATATTATTTTTTATATGTTTAATAGATTTTAAATATATTTTATATTATATATTATATTTATTTATACATATTACCCATATATTTTAACTGCATCTGATCCAATTTTCTATTATTTAAGAAAATTTTTGAGAGATTATAGGTAACATTCACCAACATCTCTAGAAGAAGTGTGTGCCTTTCTTTAGAAGCCAAACAATGCATTTAGCTTCTCCTGTGTCCTAAAGCCATTTTCTAAATCAGGGCTTCTTCATCTTTTTTTCTGTCATGTACCTCTTTGGCAGTCTGGACTCCTCCTCAGAATAATGTTTTTAAGTGCATAAAATACAAAGGATTAAAAAAAAGACAATTATATTGACATACAATTATAAAAATATTTTAAAAGTTCACTGACCTTAAGTTAAGAACCCCTGGTTTATAGCCACTAATCCCTGATTTTCAAATATCAAGGTATACTAAAGGGATAATCCTATTTGTTCAAATTCATAATTGTTTTTAATTATTTACTTATTTAATTTTTTTTTAGTTTTCAGCATTCACTTTTATAAGATTTTGAGTTCTAAATTTCTCCCCCTCCTTTCTCTCCTCCCTCCCCAAGACGGCATGCAATCTGATATAGGCTATACATGTACAATCATATTAAACATATTTCCACATTAGTCAATTCATGATTATTTCAGTGAAAATTTCAGACCCCTTCCTTTAAAATAATATTTTTTTGGTGCTTTTTTTTGTTTTTATGCCACTGTCACTTCCTGATATATTACCACCACCAACCTCCTTTGCACAAAGAACAGTTAAACTCTAAGAGAGTTTAACCACATCTGACTAGCAATCTTCACCAAAAGGAAATGTGTATCAGCATTGGTCCTCTAGAGACAAGACTGGCCATTGCATGTAATCTGAGATCTAATGTCTTGTGGTGTTGTTTTCATTTACATTATTATGGCCCATACATACACACATACATACATACACATACACACACACACACATATACACACACATATATATATATGACATCACTGTTATGTCATTGGTCCTCTTTGAGAATGAAATACTAACAACCATATACACGTGTATATACACCCACACATACATACATACACACATTGCCCTTTGCTTTTCATCACTTCATATAATTCTTACCTTGTATATTTGAATTCCTCATTTTTACCATGTCTTATGGGCAAAAATCCATTAAATTAACATGCCACATTTTTTTCAGCCATTTCCCAAAAGATAGAAATAGCTTTGTTTCCGGAGACTGCTGCTAAGAATATTTTGTGGAATATGTGGAACACATGAAATCCTTCTGTCACAAACCTCCTTGAGGTATATGCCCCATAGCGAATTGCAAGATCAAAAAATATGTATGGGCTATTTAGTAGCTTTTGTTACATAATTCCAAATTGTTTTTCAGAAGCCTTAGACAAGTTTACAATACAATAGTGTTGTATTGTATAGCCCTCTATCTTGCTGGACATGAAATGAAACTTTAGAAATATTCATTCAGAACACTTCACATAGTTCTTCACTTCTTGAATTTATTTTTTGGTAAATTGTTCATAATCTTTGACAACATATATTTAGGAAATGGCTCTTGGTCTTCTATGTTTATGTCTGTTCTTTGTAGAGCTTGGCTTTCAGACTTTTATTGAAAATATTTGAGGCTAGGGAAGCTAGGTGGCACAGTAGATAGAGCAGTGGCCCAGGAGTCAGGAGGACCTGAGTTCAAATCCAGCCTCAGATACATCACACTCACTAGCTGTGCAACTCTGGGTAAGTCACTTAACCCCAAATGCCTCACCGAAAAAAAAAAATTTGATGCAAAAATTTCTTCTGGCTCAAAAGTTCTTTGTATGGT